ACAAAACTTAGAAAGTATCAACAGCACAAGGTTACTCTCATCTCACAAGCAGATTGCAATGTCGCGTAGTTCTCTACACGTTGCGGCGGCGAGTATATTCAACATAAACCGCACAACCTGCGGGTTCCACCCCTCCTGCCACATCCGCCCACTCCGTTCATCGAGGGACAGAAAGGTTGGTTTAACGACGGCTCAACATCGAAAATCCATCTAGTTTTAAATAACTTACGAACGGTAGGCGAGGAGGATTTTACGTGTAGTGTGATGTTTCGATCATATTATTTAGCCGTACAAATATGTTCGTAGTGCTTTTATGTTATATCGTCTTGACACAACCGAGCAGGGGAACGAAAAGACACTCTTAACGGCCGCCGTCCGTCAACGACGTCACTGTCCGCCGTAACGTTCGTTAAAAACAAACGAAACATTTGAGTTGTAGCTAAAGATGTCGGGTTACATTCCAAGGAAAGGGATTGCTTATTCATGTTTTATTATATGGTGGTATTAGGAAAAACATTGGAGAACACAATAACGAGTTGGTTATTGGATCACCCTCCCCTGTATGACTTTAAGAATTTCCAGTTTATGACATCGCAACCCTGTCACCCTTCCATAGTTCACTACAAATTCATGTTTATCGGCCAGAATCTCTCTCAAGAGTCGTCATGAGATCAATATGCAGAGCTTCACACTAAAGCAGTTATCAGCCGACAACCGCTCCCTTTGACAATACCTCCTATCAGATTCCAATATAAGATATTGGTTTTGTACCCGGTCACAATTTCGCCTAGATGCATATTTTCTGTGTAATTACGATTTTGATATGTACCAAATTTCAGATGACGTTTTCAAATCGTGAAATGCCCTATGTTTTTTAGGCACAAATTTTACATTAATCGGTTAGTGGTGTGGTTAGTGTGGTGGTGGGTGTATGTGTGGTGTGGTAGTGTGTGTGGGTGTATGTGTGGTGTGGTAAGGTGTGTGCCGTGGTGTGTTGGTGTGGTTAAGTGTGTGTGTGTATGTGTGGTGGGTAGTGTGGAATGTGTGGTGTTGATAAGTGTTGTGTGAGTGTAATGTGTGAAGTGTGGGTGATGTGTGTGGTTGTGGTAATCGTGTGTGGTGTATGGTGTGGTGTGTGTGGTAGTGTGTGTTGGGTGTATGTGTGGTGTGGTAAGGTGTGTGGTATGTGGTGTATGTGTGGTGTGGTATTTGGTGTAAGTGTGTGTGGTATGTGTGGAAGTGGTGTATGGGTGTGGTAAGTGTGGTAGTGTGGTGTGGTAAGTGTTGATGTGTGTGATGGTTGTAGTGTGGTGTGGTGTGTATGTGTGGTGTGGTAAGTGTGTGCGTGGTGTGTATGGTGTGGTAAGTGGTGTGATGGGTGTGGTAAGTGTGTGCTTGGCTGTAGTATGTGCGTGGAGTGCATGGGTAGTGTGTTATGTGGTTGGGTGGGTAAGTGTGTGCGTGGTTATGGTTGGTGTGGTGCGTGTGTATGGTGTGGTGTGTGCGGGTGTAGTGTAGGTGTGGTGTGTATTGGTGTGTGAATGGTTATGGTGTGTGTGTGTAGGTGTGTTATGTGCGTGTGTATGTGGGAAGTGTGTGCGTGTATATGGTGTGGTAAGTGTGTGTGATATGGTCGGTGTAAGTGTGCGTGTATATGGTGTGGTAAGTGTGTGCGTGTATATGGTGTGGTAAGTGTGTGCGGGTATGGTGTGCGTAAGTGTGTGCGTGTTGTTGTGAGTAGTGTGGGCTTGTATGGTTAAGTGTGTGCGCGTGTGTATGGTGTGGTAAGTGTGTGCGTGTGTATGGTGTTGGTAAGTGTGTGCGTGTGTATGGTGTTGTAAGTGTTGTTGCGTGTGTATGGTGTGGTAAGTTGTGTGGTGGTATGGTGTGGTAGGTGTGCGTGTGTATGTGTGGTAGTGTGTGCGTGGTGTATGGTGTGGGTAAGTGTGTGCGTGTGTAGGTGTGGTAAGTGTGTTGCGTGGTGTATGGTTGGTAAGTGTGTGCGTGTGTATGGGTGGTAAGTGTGTGCGTGTGTATGGTGTGGTAAGTGTGGTGCCTTGTGTATGGTGTGGTAAGTGTGTCGGTGTGTTGGTTTGCGTGTGTGATGGTGTGGTATGCGTGGGGGTAAGTGTGTGGCTGTGTCATGGTGTAATTGGTGTGCGTGGTATATGGTGAGTAAGTGTGCGCGTGTGTATGGTATGGTAAGTGTGCTGTGTATGGTTTTGTATGGGTTGGTAGTGTGCGTGTGTGTTGGTGTGGTTAAAGTGGTGTGTGTATGTTGGTGTGGTAAGTGTGATGTGTGGTGTGATAAGTTGTGTGTGAAGTGTATGTGTGGTGTGGTAAGTGTGTGTGGGTGTATGTTTGAGCTTTGGGGTGTGGTCAGTCTGTGTGGTATATTGTGGTGTGGTAGTCTGTGTGTGTATGTGGGTGTGTAAGTGTGTGTGGTGTATGTGTGGTGTGCGTAAAGTGTGTGTGGGTGTAATGTGGTGTGGTGGTAGTGTGTGGGTGTATGTGTGGTGTTGTATGTGTGTGTGTATGTGTGGGTGGTAAGTGCGTGACGTGTGTGTGATGTGATAAGTGTGCGTGTGTAGTTTAGGTGTGCGTGTGTTGGGTGTGGTGTGTAGTGTTGAGTGTGTGATGTGCTTTGGTTAGTCTGGTGTGGTGTGCGGGTGTGGATGTGTACCGTTTCACTGATATTTTACTTTTTGTTTTATACCGTGTGGTGTGTGGGGTCTTGTTTGTTTGTGGGGTGTGGGTATTTGTTGGGTATGTTTTTTTTTTTGTCTATTTTTGTGTGTAGTTGTTGTAATCTTCTTAACCGATTATGTAAAATTTGTGCCTAAAAAAAATAGGGCATTTCACGATTTGAAAACGTCATCTGAAATTTGTACAATCAAATCGTAATTAAACAGGAAAATATGCATCTAGGCGAAATTGTGAACCGGGTAAAAACCAATATTTAATATTGGAATCTGATAGGAGGTATTTGTCAAATGGAGCGGTGTCGGCTATAACTGCTTAGTGTGAAGCTCTGCAGATATATCTCATGAGACTCTTGAGAAGATTTTTCTGCGCCATAAAACATGAATTTTAGTGAATATGGAGGGTGACAGGGTTGCGATGTTCATAAACTGGAAATTCTTAAAGTCATACAGGGGGGGTGACTCCAATACCAACTCGTTTTGTGTTTTCTCCATGTTTTTTCCTATACCACATTATAATAAACATAATAAGAATCCCTTTCACTTGCGAATGTAACCGACATCTTAAGCTACACTCAAATGTTTCGTTTGTTTTTAACGAACGTTTAAGCGCGGACATGTGAGTCGTTACGGCGACGGCGCCCGTTAAGAGTGTCTTTTCTTCCCCTGCTTGGTTCTGTTCAAGACGATATAACATAAAAGCAAATACGAACATATTGTACGGCTAAATAATATATCGAAGCATTAGCCGACACACTAACACGTAAATCCTCCCGCGCTACCTTCGAAGTTATTTAAAACTATGGTGGATTTTCGCTGTTGAGCCGTCGGTTCTATTACAGATCGTTTAACGCAACCTTTCTGCCCATGAACGGATGGCGGAGTGCAGGAGGGTGAACCCGCAGGTTTGGATTATGTCAATATACTCCCGCCGAAACGGTTGTAGAGAATCGCCATTGCCAATCTGCTTTGTGAATGAGAGTACTTGTGCTGTTGATACTTTCTAAGTTTTGTTTACATGCGCCTATTCTCGTGCCGTAATTTATTCTCGTCCCATGTCGGAAATGCTGCCTCTATTCTCTCACGTGTAAATGTGACCC